AAAAAAAAAAGTCTATTGTACCTTATATTATTATTGTATATATATTGTATATATATATATATATAGTATATATTAATATTGTATATCTATAGTATTTTTTAAAATACCCAGATATTTGCTAGCTTATTTGCCCTTCATTCCTTCTTTCATTATAGACTTTCCATCTGTGACCACTTTCCTTGTGTCTTATCATTTAGATCTATCATATTTTTAGTGGATTCTCTGATCATGATTTTCTAAAAATTGTATTTCAGTTTGTGGGGCTATGAAAGCAAGAGCTCTTAATGCTATGTCCGGAGACTGAAGTTCTCTATAGGACACCATACACAATAGTGCTATGTTTTCCTGAGGTGATCCAACACTTAAGCATGCGATAATAATTCATAATTAGAGATGTGGGGAAGTAAATAGAGGTCCCAGAGTATATGTATGTATATATACATGTATATGTTTATATATATACACACATACATATGTGCATATACATGTATATGAAAAATTGTCATTTTTCATATACATGTATATGAAAAATTTTCATTTTTCATATATATGTATATGAAAAATTTTCATTTTTATGTGTGTATATGTACATATACACATAAATGGACATATCTGTATATGCGTATACATATATGTGTCTATATGTGCATATACACACTAGAATTTATGTACTATACATATATAATTATACATATAAATTTATGTATATACACATTAAAAGACATGTATATATCTTTTAATGTTTTATATACACATATGTGTCATCTACATGGATAGATATTTAATGTTTTATAAACAGATAAAACATTAAAAGGAATTTTTCTTATGGGTTGGCGGGCTTTGTTCTTTCAGCACATCATTACATAATTCCGCTGTCTTCAGATGGCCATTTTTGGTGTAAAGAGATCAACTTAAAGTCTTACACTTTGACGTGAACGTCTTTTTTTTCCTCCAGCTACTATTAAAATATTTTTGTCATTGCTGTTCTGCAGTTTCAATATATGGTACTTAGGGATGGGTTTCTTTTCACTTACGGGTTTGGAATTTGTTGGGCTTCTTAAATCTGTTAACTTTGGTGTCTTTCATCTAAGGAAATTTTGGAAAATTCTCATCATTAGCTGTTTAACACCTGTTTAACACCTTCTTTATATCATCATTAGATGACCCTGTTCATTTTGTTTTTGGTGTCTTTTAACACCTCTTCCAAATTTTCTACTTGTTGGTGTTTCTGCACTACATTATGAATACATTCTTCTGAGTAAAAAATTTTTTCTCCAATTCAGCTTAATCTGCAAAATATATACTGTGTTTTTAATTCAATTTCTGTGTAGTTTTTTGTATACCTCCAACACCACATCTACCTGAAAATGTAGTTAAACTTGTCATATTTCTTTAAAAAAAGTAATTGTTTTATACTGCCTGATAATTTTAATTGAAGTTTTGAGGAAATTTTCCTGTTGGTTTTCATTCACAGTACTGTCTTCCTGTATGCCTTAATTTTGACAAATTCAATTCTGTACTATTTATTGCCCTTTACAAATATTTATAGGCTATTTTGATGCCTAAAATGATGGTTTCTCTCTCCACAGAAAATTTGTGTCCACATGCAAATATGGACATCACTGTCTAGGAACACATCAAGTTGCTTGAATTTGAGTTAAAGAGCCAAATCAGCAGTGAACTCCCATTCACTATTGCTACAAAGAGAATAGAATACCTAGGAATACAACTAACAAGGGATGTGAGGGACGTCTTCAAGGAGACCTACAAACCACTGCTCAAGGAAATAAGAGACAACACAAACAGGTGGAAAAACATTCCATGCTCATGGTTAAGAAAAATCAGTATCATGAAAATGGCCATACTACCCAAATTAATTTAGAGATTCAATGCTATCCCAATCCCACCATTGACTTTCTTCACAAAATTGGAATAAACCACCTTAAATTTCATGTGGAACCAAAAAAGAGCCTGCAGAGACAAAACAATTCTAAGCCAAAAGAAAAAAAAAAAAAGAAAGAAAGCTGGAGGGGTCATGCTACCTGACTTCAAGGCTACAGTAATCCAAACAGCATGGTACTGTTACCAAAACAGGGATGTAGACCAACGTAACATAACAAAGGCCTTAGAAGTAATTCCACACATCTACAACCATCTGATCTTTGACAAGCCTGACAAAAACAAGCAATGGGGAAAGGATTCCCTAGTTAATAAATTGTGTTGGGAAATTTGGCAAGCCACATGCAAAAAGCTGAATTGGGATTCATTCCTTACACCTTATACAAAAATTAACTCCAAATAGGTCTATGTTTAAATCTTTAATCTAACACCACAAAAATCCCAGAAGAAAACCTAGGCAATACCATTCAGGATATAAGAATGGTCAAAAACTTCATGTCTAAAACACCAAAAGCAATGGCAACAGAAGCCAAGACAAATGGGATCTAATTAAATTTAAGAGCTTCTGCACAGCAAATCTCTATTATTAGAGCTATTATTAGAGTGACCTGGCAATCAACAGAATAGGAAAACATTTTTGCAATCTAAGGACTAATATCCAGCAAAGAGCTTAAACAAATTTACAAGAAAAATAAAAACCCATGAGCAAAGGATATGAACATACACTACTCAATAGAGGACATGTATGCAGCCAACAAACATGAAAAAAGCTCATCATCACAGTTCATTAGAGAAATGTGAATCAAAACCTTATTGAGATAGCATCTCACACCAGTTAGAATGGCAATCATTAAAAAATCAGGAGACAACAGATGGTGGAGAAATAGGAATGTTTTTCCACTGTTGGCGGGAGCGTAAATTACTTCAACCATTGTGGAAGACAGCGTGGCAATTCCTCAAGGATCTAAAACTAGAAATATCATTTGACCCAGCAATCCCATTACTGGGTATTTACCCAAAGGATTATAAATCATTATATTATAAAGACACGTGCACACGTATGTTCATAGTGGCACTGTTTACAATAGTAAAGACCTTGAAACAACCCGAATGCCCATCAACTATAGACTAGACAAAGAAAATG